GTGTGTGTGTGTGTGTGTGTGTGTGTGTGTGTGTGTGTGTGTGTGTGTAGGATGGACCAGAGATCAAGATGGGCCTTGAATGTTGTTTTTTGAGACAGAATCTCAGTGGGATTTAGGACTCACAGATTAGCCTAGCCTGGCTCTCCGGTAATCCCCAGGGATCTGCCTGTCTCTACCTGCCCAGTTTGTAAGTGTGTGCTGTCATGCCTGGCTTTTCATATAGACGCTTATGATCAAACTCAAGTCCTGCCTGCATAGCAAGCACTTTGCTGACTGAGCTGTCTCCCCAGACTACACACACATGCACACTCATGCACATGGTACTTTCATCTTAAATACATGCTTTTTTTTTTTTTTACTATTTTTAATATGTTAGCATATAAAATACTTGGTTTCATTATGGCATTTTCATACATATCATTTAGTTTGCTCATTTTCTCACATTGACATGTGTGTACACTTATACCTCACTATCAGTATACTCCTCTCCCACCGGTTTTCATCCTCTCCTCAACCCTTTTCCTTTCCTGGCATGCGGTGTGTGCGTGCATTTGTGTGTGTGAGTGTATTAAAAGTCACAGAGGACAAAATTTGTCTTTGGCTTCCCCCATTACCCTGTCTTATTCCTCTCTAGCACTCCTTTGATTCCTCTTCTCCCTTCACATAGTTAGTTCCATTTCCTTACATGTCATTTGTAGCATTTCTCTCTGCATCTCACATCACCTGACTTGAGGATCTCAAGTTTCATTCATCTTCCTACAAATGTTGTAACTTCACAAAACAGATAAACACATGTGAATGACAATCAGCTGATACTTTCTTGGATACCTTCTCATTCTACCCAGTTTACTTTATGTTGGGATGGTTTTTATATTGTCTGTGTTTCAGAAGGCTTACATGGCATGAGTTGTTGAGGAAAGTAGCTACTATTTTTTTAAATGAAGAACCCTATAGTGTTCTATGTTTATCTTCATAGGTCTAGACTTACAGTAGCAAGCAGAATTTAATAATGGAAAAAAAAGTTGACAATGATATTTACATATGTATATACACATATATGTATATTAACCATTTAAGTGTGATTTAAGTTTGATACCTTTAGAGTATCAAATGTTCTCCTTCTATGGTATCTGAATTTCTTTTTGAAATTGAATAAATTTGGTTTTTGTTTTCTTTGTTGTGGTTGTAGTTTGGTTGGATTGGATTGGGTTTTCTTTTTTTCTTTCTTTTTTTTTTTTCTGATTCAAGACAGAGTTTCTCTGTGACAACCTTGGCTGTCCTACACTCCATAGACCAGCTCTGTAGACCAGGGTGGCTTCGAACTCAGAGATCTGCCTGCCTCTGCCTCCCAAGTGGGGAGATTAAAGGTGTACGCCACCAGCGCACCACCAAGTAAGTTGTGGTTTTGATACAGGATCTCATGTATCTCATATTGGCCACAAATGGTATAGAGGGAAAATGACCTTGAGCTTCCTGGTCCTCTACCTCTACCTCCCAATTACACTTCCTCTTATGGTTTGCTGGGTTTTAAAAATTAATGCAAACTAGAAAAAGAAAACTGATGAAAATTTAACTTAAGATAGTTTCATATTAGAAAATATTGCCATTAAACCCATTAACAGTCTCTATAGCTCACTGTATAGCACTAGCTAGCCTGGAAGCCACTATGTGCTCCATGCTGGCCTTGAACTTAAAGGGATCCTCCTGCACCACCATGTCCATTTCTAATATTTAAGTTTTTAGAAGTAAGACTTTTCTTGGACACTGGATTAAACCCAGGACTTAAATATGTAACCACTATGCTACAACCCCAGCCCCAAAAAGGAAATAAGTATTTCAAGGAAAAGGAGCATACATACCCAAAAGGAGCAAGCAGTCAAGGTAAAGAAGATAGAAGTTTGTGTTGCCAGTACATACTTAAAAGGAATCCAAATTTTTGCTTTTTATGATTCTGTCTTATATTTCTATTAACAGTCGCAGCAGCCACAAGTTAACCCCCTTTTTCTTGACATAAATCATTTCATAAAAATCACTTCATTAATCCTCTGAAGTTGCCAGGGTTATTCATTTGGAATATAAACTGATTTTTTTTTTCAGCAGAGTTAAATAATGTTTGTAGAGTATCAAAGCTGAGAATCAAGCTGTTCACTACTTAGGATAGTACAAAACAAAATGTTTGATCCATCCTTCTTTTAAATGAGTTTGTTTGCTTGTTTTAGAAGCAGGGTCTCACTATGTAGCCTTTGCTGGAACTCACTGCCTAGACAGGCTAGTCTGGAAGTCACAGAGAGCTCCTTCTGCCTCTTCCTCCCCAGTATTAAAGACACACACCAACACAACCAGGCCTCTTCATCAGATATACAAAATAGCTTTGCTGGATAATAGCAATCATGGTTTGCAAGTACTCTTTTTTTTCTTTTTTTTTTTTTTTTTTTTTTTTTGAGACTAGGTCTTACTGGCTCACTATATACCCCTGGCTAACCTAGAATTTGTTTGGCCTCAAACTCATACATCTGCCTGCCTCTGCCTCTCAGGTGCTGGGATTAAAGATATGCATCACTATATCTAGCTTAATATATATATAAATTTTTTTTTAATTTTTAATAATGAAGAGGGAGCATATAAGATGTTTAAAAAAAATTGTGTAGCCTTTGCTTGCTGGCCTAGAACTCACTTTTTCCATTAAAGATTTTTTGTTAAAAATCATTGTTAACTAAGTCATATAGAAATTCTATTTTTAGTTTTTGAGCAGCCTCCATACGGATTTCCATAGTGACTGAATCAATTTACATTCTCACCAGTAGTATATAAGGGTTCCCTTTTCCCCATAATCCTCATCGGCATTTACACTGGTGTGTGTGTGTGTGTGTGTGTTTTCAGTCCTTAATGGTAGCCATTCTGGCTGGGGTGAGATGGAATCTCAGTGTAATTTCAGTTTTCATTTTCCTGATAGCTAAGATTATTAAACATTTTGCCTTAATGTTTATTGGCCATTTACACTTTATCTCTTTTGAGTTGTATGTTCAGAGAATACTGGAGATATTTGCACATTCACATTTATTATAGCACTGTTCATAATAACTGATAGAATAAGCCTAGCTGTCCATCAACAGGTGATTAGATATTTAAAGTGCTGTGTTTTATGAGGTGCTTGTGGTGCATGCCTTTTATCCCAGCCCTTGAGAAGCAGAGGGAGGTGGATCTCCAAGGTCGAGACCAGCCTGGTCTCCAGGAATACACAAAGAAACTCTGTCTTGAAAAACCAAACAAAGAAATGAAAAAAATGCAGTGTATGCATAATGGATTTTTAGTTAGCCATTAAGAATGACATTGTTATTTTCTAGAAAATAGATACAAGTAGAGATAATTCTCTGATAAGATTTCGCATATTTTCTCTCAGTTATGCGTCTCCTGATATTCTATATAAATGACATGAAAGCCAAAGGAATCTCGGGGTTAGGGAGGAAGGACTTTGGGTATAAGAAAAGGGAAATGTGAACTAAAGGGAAGGAAGGTGGGCAATATGGTCATGATACATTATATACATACATGATACCCAACATATATGATGAAAATATACCAATAAAAAATGTTATGTTTTTAGAGGAAGTGGCGCAAAACCTGTGCATGAAACACAGTAGGTGCTTCTAAATGTTGATGAATAGGTTTGTTTCTTTCATTTTGTTTTTCACCAATGAAAAAATAACATGAAGAAAAATACCATGTATTATAGAACCAGGTATAATTTACTTATTTATATTATAATAACTCATTTGTTTTGTAAGGTGCCTGATTATTATAAAATAATTAAAAACCCAATGGACTTGTCAACCATCAAGAAAAGACTTCAGGAGGATTATTGCATGTATACAAAGCCTGAAGACTTTGTAGCTGACTTTAGACTGATCTTTCAAAACTGTGCTGAATTCAATGAGGTGAGATTGGGGAGAGACAACAGCAATGTGACGAGTAATCATAACCCAAACAACTTGCCAACAGTGAGGTCCCAAGATGTATGTGTTAGAGTGAGTTTGCAGTGTCTTGGGTCTGCCAGGGTATGAAAGGTTACTAGGAAGGCTTACCCACATTGAATTTGCAAAGTTTCATCATGTGCTAAGTGCAAGTACAAGAATACCTGAGACTGGGATGGTTTAGAAAATATGTTTCTGACTTATAAGTATTTACCATTCCTTTCTTTTATTTTGCAAACTTTAGAGTTGGATTTTGCACTTTTAGAATTGGATTTGAGTTTATCTTGAAATATTAAGAATGTACCAACAAGTTCTCATTTTAAATCTTATCATGTCACTTTGTCAAAACTATGTCTTTCTTGTTGGCTATTCTATTCATTCTTTTGAGCCACATTTTTTCACCCTATCCACGATCATCTTGTCATCTTGCTGATAAGATCCACCCCTCATTATCACCTCTTTTTTTTGAATGATTCAATAAAAAAATGTAGCCACAGGTTATTTCTTGTTTTATATTAGTGACATATCTAGATACTTTTCCAGCAGTTCATTAAGTTTCATAGTTGTGTGCCCAAAAGGAACAGAGTTGTGAAAGATTATTTTTATTGGCTAAAATGTTGGTCTTTTGGTTTTTAATTCCTACTTTTACTTTTATCCCACAGCCTGATTCTGAAGTAGCTAATGCTGGTATAAAACTTGAAAGCTATTTTGAAGAACTTCTAAAGAACCTTTATCCAGAAAAAAGGTTTCCTAAAGTAGAATTCAGGAACGAGCCAGAAGACACTAAATTCAGTGACGACTCAGATGATGAGTTTGTACAGCCCCGCAAGAAGCGCCTCAAGAGCATGGAGGACCGCCAGCTGCCCAAGTGAGCAGCACATGGCCACATGCTGTCCTAGAAATGTTTCTTTAAAAAATAAACAAAAACCTGTCAGTGATTTAACATCGTGACAAAGGGTTTGTGAGCTCTCGGATCTGTTTTTGCTGTTTACTGGACTTTGATTTCTTTAATAACTCATTTCTTTAACCTCTTGTCATTAATAATAAAAAAGAGGAAAGAAGGAAATGTGTAGAAGAAGAAAAGAAGGAAAAAAGATAGAAAAAGAAGAAACAGCAAAGAAAGAAAAGACATTCTTCCCACTTCTTGAATTTCATACAACAATCTGGAATAAAAGCTACAATAGAGAGAAAATAGATTTTGAAGTAAGTTGAGACTTTAGTGTGATTTGAGTGTGTGATCCATTTTTAGAATATTAATTTCACTACCCATTAATTATGGCCAAGCATAGAGTTAGGTTTACTGTGTTTAAAAGCAGTCCTCCCCCAATGTGAGTGGGAAGCAGAGTTTTCAGGGTGTCTATTGGGAAAAGTGTAGACAGATGCTATTAAGATACCAATAGTATCCATGTAAGATGGCAAATGCATTAAAGAAAATCAGGAAAATAAATGTTTGTTTATTGTTTTTGTTTTTATCTTGTTTGTTAGAGATTGTTGGGCATAGCAGGTCTTTAAGGCCATTCTTTCATGTATTTCTAGATCTGCCTTTTCTTCAGCTTCCTTGAAGGAAGGAGGTTTGCATGTTAGATGTTGCTGTTTGATTTTTGTCCCCCCTTCTGTGCAGAGCTTATAGAGCAAGACTCATTGCTTGTAATGTGGCTTTTTTGGGGGGAGGGGGGTTGATTTTTGGATTGGGTTGGTTTGGTTTGATTTTTTTGAGACAGAGTCTGTGTAGTGCTGACTGCCATGGAACTCACTCTGTAGACCAGGCTGGTCTCAAACTCAATAGATCCACCTGCCTCTACCTCCTGAGTGCTAGAATTAAAGGTGTGTACCACCACCACTCAGCTCACAGTGTGGCCATCAAATATAAAATATAGTAGCATGTACCAGTATTTGACAGATTTCTTCAACTTACACTCTGTGACCACCCAGTTTAAGTTCTCTGAAAGGACTTTCACCTGTCTTTATCATTTCAAGGAAAGTATAATAGGGTTTCAGAAGAGATCAGTTGTGAGGGATGGTGTAAGTGGGAAAAAAAAATTCTGAAGCATTTCTTTTCTGGCTTTCTGTTTGTTTCTTTTTTTTTTTTTTTTTCAAAGAATTTTATATTTTATTTTAATCTTTCTTAATTCAGAATGAAATTTTCCTTTTTGGAGAGATAAAATTTTTTTTGTTTGGTGGGGGTGTTTGGGTAGAGATGAGTAGGGGTTTCAGAAGAACAAATGAGATTAAGATAGAATAAAATTATTGTGCCATTGTACTAGCCCAATATTTGACAGACTACAAGAACATTTTTAGTTTGCCATGGTAAACTTTTAGTATAAAAGCATTTTAATTGTTTGACTAGAGAAATTATTTTTCTTTAGGTTGACGGAATAAAACACAGCTGACATGAGGATTTATTTGGTTGCATTGCCTCCCATGAGTTAAATTGTAGCTGGATGTGGTAGCTGTAGTGGCACACACTTATAATGCCAGCACGTGGAAGGTGGAGGCAGGAAAAGCAAAAGTTCAAGGTCATAGCCAAGTTGGGGCCAGCCTATGCTATGTGAGACCCTGTTTGTGGGGAAAAGATGATGACTCTATCCACATCACATTACTTACGAAGATTGCTAGCTGGAGAATGTTGTATACATGCCTTACTAGCAAAAGTTTCCCATTCTCTAAGTAAACAACCTATAATGTTCCAGTTATGTATTGTAACAGTCTTAATCAGTTTTCGAAATATGTGTTATATCGTGATGTCTGTTGTGTCAATTTGAATATGCAGCTGACATTTATTTTGCAAACACAGTCTGAACAAACTTTGACAATACATAGACCCTTGGAAAAGTGGGGTTTTATGTTCAGTTCAGTCTGGCCTTGAACTCTGACCCTTCTACCTCTACCTTCATGGTGCAGGGATTAAAGTAGTATGCCACCATGCCCTCAGCCTTGGCTTTTGTTTTATTTTGTTTTGTTATTTGGGAGAAGTGGGTACTTTGTATACTTTAAACTTGTGCAGTTGAGTCCAACATTTTGAGTGTAGCAGTTATGGAACCTTTTTTAATATTTTGAAGATTTATTTATTTTTATTTCATGTGTATACATGTTTGCCTACATATATGTGTTGCATCGTGTGTGTGCCTGGTGCCTGCCCACTTAGGCTAGAAGAGGGCATTGGATACTCTGGAACTGGAGTTACTGAGGATTGTCAGCCACCCTATGGGTTTGGGAACCAAACTTGGGTCCTCTGCAAGAGCAATCTTAACCACTAGCCATCTCTGCAGCCCCAGCTGTGGAACTTTGGGTAATACATTTCTTTTTGCTATCACAGAATGCTGTTCTCTGATAGATTGTCTTCCATACTTGTCATCTGAGTTAAAACATAGTACTTATGTAAATTATTTTTAAAATTATCACTAAGGGGGAGGTAGGGCTTAAATAAAGTAAACATAATTTTTATGTACTTCAGCCAGAATATATACTGATATACCCCAAACAGTCACTACTGTATTCTATGCCATAATAACCTTTCAAAATAATGTTACGTTTTACCATCACCAGTTTTTGCTGAAAGAGTTGAGAACCATGTTTCCTGTAATGATACATAATATATTATTAAAAGTAAATGTCTTGAGTTTTTTTCTACAGGTAACACTGCTGTCATGATATCTAAGTGTCATGACAGTCATTGACAAGAACCAGTGTGTTTAGGTGGATCCAAACTAAATGGTCGTAAACTCTTAATAGACACTTAAAGAAAAAAATAAAAAATAAAAATAAAAAAACAGTTGAACACTACCCCACAGTGATTTTGAGAACATTCCCTTCCCAGAAAAAAAAAAAAGTATTTTGTTCATTATGCTTTAGCAGTCTTGACCTAATAAAGGCAGATAACACCTTTAAATCAGATCAGCATCAGGCCATGTGGTCCCTTTGTACTTCGAATTACAGGTCCCATGTCTCTTCTGGACAGAGGAGTGGAAAGAAAATAACTCCTCCAAGGTAGTTTTGCTTTTCCAAGCTTTGGGCTTGGAACCTACTACAAAAATGTAGGTTCAGGAGTGTAACGTAAGAACGGTGTCAGAGGGCTGGAGAGATGGCTAGGCTCACAACCAAAAATATAAGAACAATGTCAGAGGTTGCCTCCAATCAGTGCATTTGCAGCCAGGTGCAGTGGCACACTCCTGTAACCCCAGCACTTGGGGAGTAGAGGCAGGAGGATCCCTGTGAGTTTAGTCTACAAAATGAGTCCAGGACAGCCAGGGCTACACAGAGAAACTGTCTTGAAAGAAAATAACAACAAAAAATAAGCAAAGAAAGCTACATTTGCGGTTCACTGCTGTTAGCAGTAAGTACATACATTTTTTTTAATATTGTTGGACATGTAAAGAGGGCTCATCTTTTATTGAGGCCTAGTCCAAACTAATTTGAGTTGCTTCCTAGGAACCAAAAGCTTTTGAGTTTCTATTGAAAGTGTCATAAGAGAAAGTGTATTCATTTTCTGTTTATCAAAAATCCATATAAATGAGGGAAATAAATTATCTGATTGGTCATTGCAATTATAGACATGACCTGACTTCAACTACTTTATATTTTTTCTATCAAATAACCATGCCATATTTTTTAAATACTTTATAGCTCCATGTAAACTACTAGTTGATAGTTTTACATTTATTTTGCCTTGGGTGGGAATTCTGTGATAATCGCTGTACAGGGGTCTCATGTTCATGTCAGGCAGCTCACAGGCTTCTCCACAGAGGTTTCAGAATTGTGAAGGATCAAGGCAATAGTAACTTTAGGTTGTGTTTTTTGTTTCTTCAGGGACTGGTGCTTTGAATTTAATAAAAATTAACTGGTAAATTCTTACTGTGAATATGTTATTAATGACAGACTTTTGTAATGGAAAAAATGTATTTTAGTAGCTCTTTACCTAGTTTGAGCCCTTTAATCTTAGTCTGCATCTACTTGGCAGCTGTATCATTGTTGTCTATAGAGATGTGCTATGATTCATAAATATTAGGAAAACTTGGTTTAGAAAGATAAACCAGCAGGGTCGGGGAGGAAAAGTGGGAAACAAAGAAAAATACACAGCAGTGTTTTTCTCCTTGAAAGTAGATTTTAACAGTGATACTGGTTACCTAATCCAGTCTCTTTAAGGATGTACTAGGAATGGTGTTAAGAAAGCCAGCCTCAGCTGGGTATTTGTGGCACATGTCTTTAATCCCAGCACTTGAGAGGCACAGGCAGGCAGATCTCTGTGAGTTGGAGGCCAATCTGGTCTGCACAGGAAGTTGAAGACAGCCAGGGCTACACAGTGAAACCCTGTCTTGAAAAACCAAAACAAGAAAGAAAGCCAGCCCAACATACAAGAAGTCCAGTGTATATTATAGGAGGATGTTTTATCAGGAAACTCCACCGGGTGAAGAAGGCAACACAGGGTGAGGATTTGTGTCTTAAAACTTTGCTTATATTAACTTTAAAAGTTTGGAAAGCTTGATATGCAGAAATAACATGTTAAAGGTCACTGCTGGACACCTTAATATTTATTTATTTCATGTGTATTGGTGGTTTTGCTGCACCAATATCTATGTGCCAAATGCATGAAATATGGACATTGTAAGCCACCATGTATGTGCTGGGAATTGAACCTAGGTCCTCTGGAAAAGTAGTCAGTGCTCTTAACCACTAAGCCATCTCTTCAGTGCCACTACTGGGCTTTGAATAGGTCTCTCTTGATGGAAATAATCTGTTTGACTTAAAATAGAATAAATAGACCTAATTTGAGTCCTAGAGCTTTCTTCTTGCTAATTTTTAACATTTAACAAAATTCGTCTTTGCACATTCTCTAATATGTCATGAAAGAAGGGTTGTTTTATCATCCCATACTACTTACCAGGAAGTATGGGAGCAAAGTCTTTGCCTGTGTTCTTATGCCTTAACCCCAAGACAGATAAGCCAGAAAATGTAGTCTGTAATCATTGGTAACAGTGGTTACCTACTCCAGTTTCTTTAGTGGTACATTAATGACTTGCATATTAAGAAATTTCAAAATAAATAAAACTTAGCATCATATTATAGAAAGTATTTACCTATTGTAGATTTTACTCTACAGAGTCTTAGACAAATTCTATATGCAAAACTATTAGATTCTGATATACATTTTCCACTATACTTTTTATTATTCTTCAACTAATACTGACTCAGTCTTTAGAGATCTGTGAAACAATTCTAATAAATTCTTACAAAAAAAAATAAATGACTTGGGTAGAAAACCTCTACACACCACCACACAGCAGCATGGGTCGGGCAGGAGATACCCAGACAGCCCAGGCACCATTACAATGAGCAAGTAAGTGGTGAAGAGATGGGAGAGAAAGAGAGGCAGAACTGGAGACTGAGAGGGTAGAGAAGAACAACAGCCTGATGTGGGTAGCCAGCACTGCCACCTGAGGTCATGGGGAA